ACTCGGTTATTTATTTCTCGGATTTAGCTATTTAAGGTCCATGCATGCACTGTATCTTGTAGGAGTTGAAGTTGTAAACCCTACACAGCCTTTAAAGTAGCAATTCTATATCAAGCTCTTCTAAGGATGTGCTTATTAATCATTCGACATAGCTTGATCTTCATTCTATTTTTTTTTTATTCTTTTACCTATTTGGATCTAATCGATCTTTCTAGTTTTAATCTTAATAATTGGTATTAGAGCAGGAGATTGTGTAAATCTATGTAGATATTTTGTCGAGTTTCATTAGGGTTTCTGCCTTTATTGGATCTGTTCTAAGCCGTCTTCATCATTGTTATTGATTTTAGATGTTGAATCTTGATCTATATTCTAACCTAAACTCTATTTCAGTTTACACGTCTGATTCTTACAGGTTATTATTGAATCAAAAAACATGCAGCCTAATGATTCTCATGTCAACTCCATCAATATCTTAAGCAGCATTGGATCTACAACAAGGATCCCTATGCTCCTTCTGAATGATTATGAAGTGCGGACACTACATTTTCAAGATTATGTCATTGGTCTTGAAGATAGTGGCTCTTTGATATGGGATTCCATGACTGTCTAGATGTTCACTCATACTGGAACAAGGAGGGAAATAAAAACTCAAGCTGATTATAATAATCTTCTTCTTCAAGTCAAAGGCATTCCGCAAGATGACAAAATACAAGCTAATCAGCATTATCAAGGCAATGAGGATTATTAGGTTTGCTATGACTCCAGCCATGTTTCTTCTGGTATGTTCCTATGATACAACAAAATCCATTTAGGATAGGCTCAAAGAACTCTATTCGATTGATACTGATCTTGAGCACTTTACTCAAAGACTCCTGCTTCCGGAGTTTATAGCCTTTGTTCAGAAGCCAAAGGAGAGTCTCAGTCAAACATTCAACTGTTATAATCATCATTTAACCAAGATGATGAAACACAAAATTAGATGTGAAGTGATTGAACAAAAAGTCACATTCATGAACGGGTAGAGATCTGAATGGAAATTCATGGTGTCGAAGGTTAAAGCACATGAGAAGATCGAAAACTACTCTCTACCAATGCTTGTTTGTTTTTTCAGGTCACATAAAGATGAAGTGACAAAGGAAGGAAACGTAGTATCTGGGATGGGATCGTTGGCCCTTGTTTCAAAGAGCAAGAAGGTTACAGAGGAAGAAGCTTCGGAGTCTGATCTCTCTGATTGTGAACTTTCAAAGGAAGAGTATACTATGATGGTGTCTAACCCAAGAAAGTTTGCAAAGAAAAACTTCAGCCACAACAAGAACCAAAATTCGCAGGGAAGTTACAGTTCTAAGAAAGTGAAGGATGAGAGTTCTAATGACTCTCAAAAGGAAGAAGTGAAGAAAGAAAAGAAGCTAATGGGTGACTCTTGCTATGACCTGCAATTATTGTCAAGGAAAAAATCATATTGCTAAGGAATGCATGTTGAGGAGAATGAATGAGAAGAAAGAGGAAGAGGATGATGAGACTTACTATCTCAGAAATCTGGAGGAAATCAAGAAGAAGAAAATTGAGATAACGTTAAACCTAATCTAATTGTGCAGGAACAGGATGATGAGTTTGGAAGAGTCGAAGTGTGGTCGAATGACTCTGGGGACAAAGAGGTTCCTAAGCCAACTCATGGGAGAAGCTTTGTGGTGAAAGATGATGTTTCACAGTTCAGTGGAAGATGCTTGATGGTTAGCAATAACACCTCGGAGAAAAGAGGTTACGCTACTAATGGTGGCCATGTCTCAGGTAACTTCTTCACTACGAAAACGGTCCCAGATCAAATAAGCGAATGCAAGAGGATGATCATCAAGGTACACTTTATTCTTCATCCTCTAAATATCCCTATCTCTCGGTATGAAACTCAACTGGATGATTTAAATTTTATAGTCTCTAGTTTAGGTGAAAGTTAAAAATGAACCCGTTTGAATAATGCTAACTTTAACCGATCAACTCAAAAGGGTAACATCAAAAAGTGAAAGAGGCGCATATGGATTTAGAAGTCAGGGTCGGATTTATCTCGGTCTAGGGACGATTTAATTTATTTGCAACGAGGCAATATGGGGTTGTTGAAACAACGAAACATTTTTTTGTTTAATTTCTAAAAGACTTTATTTCAATATTACCCAGTTGCATCTTGATTGTGAAATTGGAAAGAAAATCCATAAGATGATTTTTCTGTTTCTTGAATTGAAAGAGGACAAAATAGACGTTGAATGTTACAGGTGCGAATCCATCTTTTCATCTGACAAAGTCTTGGACGCTTACAAAATAAGACTGGACAAAATTGAATCTTTCTAAAGATCACAAAAAGATGTTGAAACAGCTTTTGGATGAAAATGACAAAGAAAAATTAAATTTGATACTATACAGAAGTTTGACTCATTAAGCACTAAGTTGAGTTCAGAAAATAAACTTGACGTTGAAACGTATCTGAATTCAATGATGATAGTGATATGAGTGAAATCTCTGAAAAGGATGAGGTTGATTGCTCAGAATTTGTTAAAAGCGAACCTGAACCTACTAAAATTCTAATTTTTTAAAAATTTAGTTAACTTTGCATTCATTTCTAAAAACAATTCAAAGGTTTTGAAAGCAAAAGCAATTTTTTTTCCAAAGGTTCAAACTGTTCCTAACCAGGTTTCACAACTAAGGTACTAAACACACTACAAGAAAAAAGGCCTTTGACGACGCGCAAAATACGACGCTCATTGATCTATGTTACGCAAAGGAGAGTGACATTAGAAAAATGTCATCTCTTCAAAAAAATTTAGGATAGAAGACACGCATTATTGCGCGCCCTTAAATTAGTGTCTAAAAAAACACGGAGGGCACCTATAATAAAATGCGCATCGTCTAAGGATGTCGCTTTATATTTTTTAATGGAACGCGCGTTCCATCCTTTAATAGTGGGGGAAAGGGGGAAATGAAATTCTAAAAAAATTAAAAACCCCGCCAAGCTCTCCTCTACCTTCTTTCAATCGTTCCTCTCTCTCTCTCTCTCAATCAAATACCAAAAATCGTCTATTGTTGGAACTAGGGTTCCGGTTCTTAGTGAAATCGAAGGTTTTTTGGTCACCAGGCCATGAAATTGATCAAAGGGGTACAGTTTTTGGAACCATGACTATTGTTGGAACTACAGTTTCAGTTCGAAAACCCTTCATCTACTTCCCTCTATCTTCAGTTCCTCAAGTACTTTCTTAGCCTCTCAATCAATAGAAGAGCTGTATTACAACTACAAATTTAGAGTGATTTCCATATCAAGTAGAACAATAGCTCCATTAAAGTCAAGGTCTCGAAACTCCATGGTCAATCACCATCGTTGGTTACTAACACCACCATTTGTATAAAAACCCTAGAACCACCAGGCCACCCTTTTCCTCCATCCATGTCCCTCCTTTCTGTCTATCTCTAACAGACCACTGCAACATCACATTCACTTCTCCTGGCATGCGACTGCGACTCCCAAAAGATTTAGTGTTATGCTCGATGCTTCTCAACAAAATCGATCGAGGTGTCGGCGCTCCTATCTCATAGAGATTTAGGGATTTCTTGGTTCAAGGTATCGAATCTCAGACATCAACGACTTTTTTTGATGACCCGGTCAGATAAAGACGTTTGATGAACTAAATTTGTGTATCTGACTCGGAAAGCTTAATCTAATCGGGTAAGATGGAAAAAATCGACTGACTGAGAAAGGAGGAAGAAAGGGAGAAGGGTTTCCATTTATACCCTTGCCCTACCAAAGGAAGAAATCAGCGACTCCATCGTTTCTTCTCCTACTTCAACGCCAATTTTCTTCTCCCGCAACAACCAATCGTCGACGATCCTCTTCTCATCTGTTCCAATTTTTTGAAGTCTCCTTCCCCTTCTCATCAGGTACGCTTCTTCCTTTTTCCTCTTCTCATCAGGTCCGATTTTTTGATAATATATAGGTTTTGATTTATGATTTTTCTGTTGAACATGTATGGTTCTTCATTGAATTCTGAAAATTTCTCAAAGAATTTAGGCCCTGTGTTCAATTTCATCATATTTCTTTTGTTTTAGACTTGTGCTCAATTTCAAGGAGGGAGAGAAACCTGTGATATTTGTTGCTCTTATTTTCTTGATTTGCACTTAGGAACCATTGGTGTTACCAGATAGCAGGTTACCATGTTCTGCTATTAAACTTTTCACCATTCCTAATGAATTAAAGAATACTAAGAATAAATGACAGTATCCGTAAGGTCGGGGTGTCACATATAAAATATCAGGATATGAAAGTCACATAACTTATTCTCTCTGCAACAAATGAAAAAGCACCAGTCAAATATATATATATATATATATATATATATATATATATATATATATATATATATATATATATATATATATATAGAATCAGTATAGAATATTAATGCGGGAGTGTTTGTAGCTTTTGGGTGTGCATATCTTGGACCATTTGGGCATTTCTACCACTTATTGTTGGATAAGTTGTTCAAGGGCAAAAAAGACACGACAACAGTTGCCAAAAAGGTATCCTAAGAACCTTTGATAATAAGGATAACAATGGAAATTTACAATCTTACAACTGAATTATATGACACCTAATTCGCGATTTGATCTATATATTTGTAGGTGTTGCTTGAACAAGTGACATCTTCTCCATGGAACAACTTGATTTTTATGCTTTACTATGGGCTTGTTATCGAGGGTAAGGTCTTTTTGGTTCCTTGTTTGAATAAATATGTTGACTATAATTATTTTAGTAGATAAACGATTATGAATTGGTTTAATGCTAATGGGGGTGTTTGGATGTATGATTTGAAAGTTATTATTTTGTTTTGAAAAATAACAAAATCATGAGTAATGATAGAAATAAGTTTTTCTATATAATCTGTAAATAAGTTTTCTTGCATTTAACCTTTTTAAAGTTGATATCATTTTTCAACTTTAAAGTCATATAATAATTTATGGTCATGTATATATATGCAGGAAGATCATGGATCCAAGTGAAATCTAAAATCAAGAAGGAATACCCCACAGTACAATACGCAGCTGCCATGGCTTTGCCACCTTTATCTATTCAAGGTGATTTGGGAGTTGTTTCTGCTGCTGGAGTTAGATATGCATATCCACTCCTAAAATCATTTGCAAAAATGGGACCTCAAGGTGTTCTTGGTGCCACAAAGCTTTTACGCCCTTTTTCAGAAATAGTTGATTCATTGGGACTCAAAGATCCTTTCATTAGAAATTGGGTGGATCTTTTGTCTTTCTTACTTGCTGGAGTGAAATCCGATGGTGTTCTTTCAGCAGAAATGGTACATAATCATATCATACATTAAAAAGTTTCTTTTAAGGTAGTTTTACTTTTTGGTATGATGGAATTGAGGAAGGAATGGAATGGGCTATTCCATTACCACATGTCCTCATCCATTCCATTCCAACCAAACAGAATCCATTCTATTCCTTCATATTTTATAGTTCTCTAAATGTCTAATCTTTTGCCTGTATATATATCCACATATTTGCAGATTTATATGTTTGCAGAATGGTATAAACCAGGTTGTAGTTTAGAATACCCTGTTGGTGGAACTGGAGCACTTGTTGAGGCTCTTGTTCTCAGATTTTCCTTCTGATAAACTTCCAAAAATGTCAGAACCTTCACAACTTATGACAGAAAATACACGTTCTGATCTTTATGTTGCACTCCCTGTTCTCAGTCAAGGAAAGAAATGGGTCTTACTATACAGGTAAAATTTCATCTTCATCATATTTTCAGTTTCACATTATTCTTGAATCTTGATATATCATTATCTTTTTTATATGTTAGTACATGGAGGCATGGCATATCTCTTTCAACCTTATATAGAAGAAGCAATCTTTGCCCTGGGTTAAGTCTACTGGTAATGTCTTGTCTTCGTTTCTCTATATGTTGACAAAAGACTTTTCTACCCTTTTTCACTATGATGAGTAAATACTATACAGGGATCGAATGATACATTTGTGTTTACAAATACACCAGGGCGTCCTGTTATATATCGCCCCACAGGTACTGCATTTTCTTGATAATATATAAAAAAATCTTTTATAATTTTAATATTTATTTGGGATTTATTATGTTAATTGTGCATTTATTAGGGGTGAATCGGTATTTTACTCTTTGTTCAACTGAGTATTTAGCGCTTGGTGGGGGAAATCATTTTGCATTGTATCTCGATAGTGACTTGTAAGAGTGTTGCACTTGCATCATTCCTATTTTTCTTTTTGAGGGATAATATGGTAATTTGGCAATTTGCATATTTTTTTCCCCAGATTGAATGGGTCAAGTTTGGCCTCAGAAACTTATGGTAACTCTTGTTTGTCACACACCCAAGAATTTGAAGTGAAGGAAATTGAGGTGCTTTCTCTCACTTATTTTTGCAAAAATTACATTTTTGGTCCTCGAGTATGGCTGATTTTGTTCAATTTGGGTCCTACAAAATTCTCTTGCAAATTTGATCGTTATTTGAGGTTTTTGTAACGTTTTTACTCTTCGTTCCAAGTAAAATGAGTTGGGACTAAAATTGAAAAGATCAGCAATTGACAACCTTTCTCTGTGTTCAATGCTTTAGCTGTGTTTGCTCTAAGGGAGATCAACTTATCACAAGTAAGTTACTGTTTCACCCTTTTATTTAATATTTTTGTGATTGAATGAAAGTCTTAATGAAAGTAATTGACAACCTTTCTCTGTAAATGATGTTGTGATTGTGGGAGAGGTGTTGTGTTTTTCTCTGTTGCTAGGTAACCTTCTCAACAACAACATTCTACTTAAGCAGGTGAGTAATCAAGATTAAGGGAGACTTGTAATCATGTTTGACATTCCTTTCCAGTAAGAAAAAGAGTTGTATGATTATTTGTTAGTTTTATAGGAATGTATAACCCATGTTAGCAATGTTTTATTTTTGTTTAACATTTGAATGATTCTTTGTATGACATTACAATTTGTGTAATTTATTTTATTTTTTGAGTATGAAATTTTATTTTATATTATGCAATGGATTGTATTTTTTGTATATGGTATTTTATTTCTATTATGAGAAATTAAATGCAAATTTAATTTAAAAATTAATAAATATATAAATTTATTTTTTTAAAACATTTAAATTTACGATACGCAAAAATGTGTGTCATCTTCATTTATGACATGGCCTTTCTTGACAGGGGCTTTCTTGATACTCATTGCGTGTCATTAACACGCGCGTCGTAAGGTTACGACACGCTAATGCGTGTCATCTTCCTTTATGACAGGGCCTTCCTTGATACGCATTGCGTGTCGTAAACGCGCGTCGTAAATGAGCATCGTAAATGAGCATCGTAAATGCGCGTCGTCTCTCTTTATGACAGGGCCTTCCTTGACACGCATTTGCGCGTCGTCTGAGCCTTTTACGACGCGCAATGAGCGTCGTAAAAGGCCTTTTTTCTTGTAGTGACAAAAAACAGACAATTGAACTAACGCCCTTGGTAGAAAAAGACAATGTCGATGGATGCGATGAGTATTTTTGGTCTGCTCCCATTGACAACGCAGAAGAAACCAAAGGTCTCTCTAAAATGACCTCTTGGAAAATGAAGTGCAGATAAGTAGCAGAACCACTGCATAAAGTCAACCCAAGCTACAAAAAAGGGATTCCAAGTGGAACCAAGAATGTTCCAAGTGATACATCATCCATACAGACCTAAACTTCTTTTAGAAAAGCCGAAATCTAAGGCTAATGTTCGTAAATCCTCTGAGTAGTTTGCAACTCAACAAAGTCAAAGAAAAGCGAGGTATAACAAAAATATGAAGGAAAGAAAGTAATTCTGGAGATCTAAAAACCCAAACTTCGTTTATCAAGAAAAATCATCCAATCCAAATGTGAAAGTCTCTTCACATGCGAACCCTAGGAGTTTTTCACGAATTTAGTCTCAGTCTCCATAGGTTTCAAAAGCTAAAGTTTTTCAAAATCCTAACTTTTCAAATCAAAAAAAACCCATGGAGAAGTCAAAGTCTCACTTCTCACCTAACAAAAGTATTACAAATTTTTCCAAGACATTGCAAGATGTTAAGGGCAAAGGAAAGATACTTTTGGAGCCTAAAATTCCATTAAAGAGGTCCGAGAATAAATTCGAGAAGAAAGTTGTCAAGCAACAAATCCAGAATAAACAAAGTAAAATATCCACAAAGGATAAGAACTTAAAAGATAATAGGGTCATTGTTTTCAAATGACAAAGAAAGATAGCCCCAGCTTGGTTAAAAGATCTTATTTAGTTGATGTTTCTATTACTTTTCCTATTACTGCGAAAGCCTCACATGGACCCAAACAACTTTGGGTTCCTAAATATCTTTGCTTTTTGCAGGTGATAAATGACGAGCAGTTTGACTCAAAATGGTACATAAATAGTGGTTACTCGCGTCACATGACATGAAGGAAGGAAGAAGTACGAGAATACAAAGATTTGAAAGATGGAGAGAAAGTGAAATATGGAAATAATTCATTTGGAGAAATAAAAGGATGCGGCATGATAACCAATGGGGAATTTTCCATTCACAATGTAGCGTACGTGGAAGGCCTACAACACAACATAATCAGTGTATCACAATTGGTTGTAGGCACAGGCTTGAAAGTTTCATTCGACGATGAAGGATTAGAGATAATTCAGAAGATAACCAAAACTGTGATGTTAAAGTCCATGAGAAAAGGCGCGATGTATCTACTAAATCGGAACCCCATCAAAGGGAAGCCTTCTATCTACCTACTTACGAAAGCTTCTTCTGATGATAGCTGGCTATGGAAACGAAGACTCTCGCAACTCAATTTCAAATATATCAACAAGCTTGTTCTTGGTGATCATGTGTCAGGGCTTCCTCTCTTGAATTTTGATAAAGAACATCTTTGTGCAGCCTGAGAAATGGGGAAGCCGAGTGTCACACCTCGCTAAAGTGGAAACACTGTGTGTGGCAACACAAAGGGTTTCATAGAAAAAGTTAAAACACAACACCAACCATAGTATTAAAAAGCATTATAAATTTACAATGGGTTTGAACAACTTTTTAAAGAAATTACAATATGAATTGCAATACAACACATGTGAATGCTCCTAGAAGTGATTTGTCTCTACGTGCCTATTACTAGATGACTCCTGAAAAAGCATGTAAAACAAGTGTCAACTATAAAAATAGTTGGGTTCATTTTGCTGGAAGATTTCAAGTTTGAGGAGTGTTCTTGGGTTCATTTTGCTGGAAAATTTTCGTGACATAGGGTGAGGGTGAGAGAAAATGTTGTGGTATGCGTGAGAGAGAAATGAGAGAGATGATAGAAGAGTGTCGGAAAGAAGAACAAATAATAAAGTGCCTTGGGAAGAGACTTTCGTGGATAGAGGGGGGCCGATTTTGAGGGATGAGAGAGGACTTTTTTTTTAAATCCCTTGAAATTTTTACAAAGTTTCAAATTTTGATAAAGTTTCAAATTTTTATAAAATATGCACATTAAATCAACATTTGTTTACAAACTCTTAAATTTTGTTTCCTAAAATAAGCTTAATTGTCAATGACCCAAACTTTTTTTTCTTCATCATATTTAGGTTAAATTTTATAAATTTAGATGTTTAGGGCATTTAAGGGTTTTGGAGAGTTTGTAAATCTTTGGATATCAAAATAAATAGAATCTTTGAGACTTAAAATTATCTTATGGCATTATAACTCTTTTATATTTATAAATAATGTTTGTAACTTATATTCTTGGTTTATTGGCATTCTATGTAATGGTTTCGAGATTCATGCGAAATTGAAGAATCAAGTATACTAGTCTTAGTTTTCAACTATGACTTAAGTTCCGACAAGACTCGGACCTAATTTTCTACTACCAGGTCAAATCCATTATGTGTGTATATGATTCATGAAGAGGTTTTCGGGTCAAAGAGTGACCCAAATTCGGATAGTCACTACAGTTAAGTAATTGTAGAATTCACATGTCAATGTGAAATCTAAGTACACTATCCATTGTTTCTAATTGTTTCCAAGTTTATATTAGGTTATAACGTAGCTTCTAGTTACTAAGTCTAGTATGTGTCGTGCCTACATGTGCAACTAATTTTATCAAATCTAGAACTGACTCGAATTTTGACGGTTGTCACAGTCTCCCCCGGTTGAAAGAATTTCGTCCCAAAATACAATTTGTGACGTATTCTATTAGAACTCAGTTGGATACAATTGTATAGCTAAAGAGATGGTGATTTGAAGATTTCTTTGTTTATTTTGGGTTAAGTCCACAAGGGAAGAGCCCAACTTTTTATCGATAATCAAATTAGTGTTTCCCTAATTTTAGTTCTACAATCTAGATTGAGAGAAATTAGGATCATGGAAATCATTATCCAACCATGGCGACCTAGTTGAAAAAGATTGTCTAGTTAGATATTATCTGACTTGAAAGAGCGTTATAATTTTTGTGGAAGCACCAAATGAATTCAGTGTTAAGTCCGCATTGATCCTTAAGTCGCGTTCTAAATCAAGACTATGTGTGAATTCACTGTCTAATAAAGAAGGGATTAGGAACAATTTGTTTACTTCCGGATTGGCTACTAAATCAGAAGGTGATATATTTTGAAATAAGAAAGGGTAGCA